GTTGGGAATTTTAGGGGGTAACCCCAAATTTCCCCCCCTATTTATGGGGGCAGGGGTTCCCCTTAAAATTCCTACCAGACCTAAAGGGCCTGGTACGACTTTTGGGGGAGCCCCACACACTTTTTATTTTGAACTCGGGGGGGTCCCTCCTAAGTTTCCTACCAGACCTAAAGGGTCTGGTATGGATAGGGAGGGGGACCTCACACTGTTTTCTTTTTTTACATTAGTGCAGTACAGACTCCCCGCTTCCGCTGCGTTCAGGTCAGCTGAGCTGAAGCATATGCGCCCGGCTGCTGTACGGGCTATTGTGCCTGAAAGGCTCCGGTGTTTGACATATTAGCCGAATCTTCGGCCTCATTCTTCAGCTTTTTAGTGCATAACCTTCTGAATTTGTGGGGTTACTTGGAGTAAATAGATACCAAACATGTCAAACCTTAAAACTGCGGACACTCGTGTAATGGTGAAAAACTATGGTATTGAAAATTGTCCATAGGCTGATAACCACACCCCCCCCGCCCTCCCCCATTTTTTTTTTTCTTTTCCTGAGCTCCAACATAAATAATACTGACTTGCCTCTAGGGATCTCTTTCAATTTCTCAAAATCAAACACTTCTTGCAAACATTGGTGGGACCATCCTAGAATTTGACTACCTTCACACCTTTTGAAAGACTTTTGTATAATGGTGCACGAGGCCCTGGTCTTATTTCTTATCTTTATGGTCTATTGTTAGAGTTTCACTGCCTGAAAGGGAGCTATTGGCTAACTTAAATTATTAGAGATGCAAGCTTGCAGGATTCCTCACATCCGTTTGGCAGGATTTAAACATTTTAAAGTGACACTAAACTCAGGAGTTAAATCTTAAAAATACATTCAAGTGCCCTAACTATTAACAAAAGTATCTTATTTGTGTATCACTCGGCTGCAGATCCTTGAAATCATCTTTGAATTGGTGATGACACTGTCCTTCCTTCTGGAGGGGGGCTACTTTTGTTCCCCATGGTCCGTGTGTTGTAAAGTAGCCACAACTCCAAGATCACCAAATTTGCATTGAGATTGTGATGGACTACAAATTAGTAGGGATGCACCAATACTATATGAAACACAAAGAACACCAGGCACCTGACCTGGTGCAATAAAACCTTTTTATTAGTAAAAGAACACAAATTATACTCACAAAAAAAAGCAAGGATAAAAACATCAATGGACTGCTATGGGAGGTGAGTGGGAGACAATAAGAGACAGTCCAGAAGCTCTGCTTGTCTGCAGAGACACTATACCACTGCTGAACACGTTTTAGGGGATACACCCACTTATTTAGAGCTAGGCTCTCACTGTGCCAATTTGTACTCTTAATTAATCACAGGAACTCTGAGATCGAAATGTAGCCAAAGAGTGGCAGTCTGTTGCTAAGACAACCGCCTGGCTGACCAATCATAGCCAAGGTGGCAGGGCCACAATCAAAGGGAAAGAACAGTCCCCATGTTAGTATGGCGGCAATCAGAAAAGGACAGACAAGACGGTTAGCGGAGTAAAAAAAACCGCTAGATAAACGAGGCAAACAATTAAGCACACGGAAAGACCATAAAAATAACAAAACCAAAAAAAAAAGCTGGGGGGGGGGTGTCCCCAAAAACACATTCAGCAGTGGTATAGTGTCTCTGCAGGAAAGCAGAGCTTCTGGACTGTCTCCCACTCACCTCCATAGCAGAAAAATCACTGAGAACTGCGAGTCCATTGATGGTTTTTATCCTTGCTTCTTTTGGAGAGTATAATTTGTATACTTTCACCAATAAAAAGGTTTATTACACCAGGTCAGGCACCCGGTGTCCTTTGTGTTTCATAGTGTCTAGGATGCCTCTTCTGTAACGGGGCAACCATACTGGATTTCAATACCTATTGTTGCCATGGGAGGGTTTCTTTTGGCACTGGTCCGTGTTTTTTCATGCTAGCATTGGTGCCAATACTGAATATTTGGGCGAGCCAGATTTCCCTCTGACCGGCAGTGCCGAGGGAGCACGGAGCCGGCTTCCTTTCCAATCGGGAAGCCGGACGGCACCTCATGA